ATGATACATCAATCACGATCAACCCACTAAGACATCCTTACACACAATTTCCACACACTCCAAAACATGACAAACACGCAATAACACATCCTAGACGGCATCACCAACGCTTGACTTACCGCGTGGGCCCACCCGGCGCGCAGGCCCGCGGCGCCACGTGCCGAGGACCCACGCTAGAGACAACCGTTCACGGCAGCCGCCACGCGTCGAAGAGAGTCTCTCAACTCTCACTCACCACCAAGGCTCGCTTCCGTCAGGGGTCACTGCCGGCGCTACCCCATGATGATGATGACGTTAGTGGTGCTCAACACGAATACGCCACCTATTGCTTGGCGGTCGTCACCCTAAATGCGGCTTTGCGGCGAGACGCATGTGCCACACGGCGCAAACAACTTTACAGGGGGTTACAGCACCCCCACATTCTCCCAACCTTAAATCAAACCATATCCCGAAAACAAAAGGTAAGCTACACAAGCTTTAAAAAAAAATGACATCACATGTCCATAATGTCTTTGCACAACGACACCACCGCCGGTCGACACTGCTGCACTGTCCAGCTCGACTTCACCTCAGTACCGGCCCCGCAACATCAACGTTGCCGTCGGCGCGACGAACTGTCGCTAGTGCCTACACGGCTTCCAATTGGGACCAGCACTCACGAGGGCGCCGGACTGCAGGCAGTTGCGCAGGTCTCAGGCGTCTCCATCACCCGACCTCACGACCGCATTCCTGGCCAGCGGCGCTGACGATGTGCACAAGACAGCCGACCATGGATCACATCACTCCCGCTGCTTATATTCCAAACACTCGAAACAAGGGACCAGGGCCTAGGAAAGGGAGCTTCGGGCTTTTCGCCCATGTGGTACGATGGTCAGTACGGCTAGCTAATACATCGGCGGGGGCCGAGACGCCCCTCAAAATGAAACAAAAATCACTTTTTCTAACTCCTGCATCGCAAGATAAAAAAAAGTGAGGGAAGCAGAGCGCAACACCTCAACACCACGATCCACCTAGTTGTGCCACGTGCGACAGGCGGCTGCGCAGAGCCTCAGGCCTAATGAGTCGCTCGGCAACAACCGGCATCCACCCAGCACCCAGCATAGGCGCAGAAGAGGCAGCCACGAGGAGGCATCCACTCTGTGAGGTGGCCCTATTGCTCACCGCACACAACACTTTACCGAGCGATCGGCGTCCGTCGACCCGGGCGGTGTCACAATGCCCCGGCATGGAGCCGCAATACAAGACAGCAACGACGCCCGGCTCCCTGAGCCGAAAGAGATAGAAGAAGCTATTTACAGAAAATCGGACCACCCACGAGGCTTCCGTACTCGCTCGCTTCAGGCCTGGCCTAGAAACCACGTGCTCTAGGTTTTGCTCACCCCAGGATGCTGACCGCATGGCTCGCGTCCCAATTCAACAACGGTTTTGAAAACTAACACCAATAAAAAGAACAACACTTGCGAGCAAAAAAAAATAAAAACTCGACCTGCCGACAAATTCAAACACGTCACAAATACCGATCTCCTCGCTCTCAACAAAGCACACGACCGACGCTAGCAAAGAAGTTCCCCTAGGCCTACTCTCTCCCAGCTCTAACAAAAGCTTGTACCGAATCGCAAAAACTGTCGTCCGATACTCCAAGGGCTCCACATTGGGCAGCCAGTGTGGTGTCTCGACTAGGCGAGCGAGCGCCACCACCACGCTCTTAGAGTGAAAGGACGCAGTAGACACGGTCGGCACAAACCAAACAATACACATTTGACTAATTTATAACGACGATATCATCCGCCGAATGATACATCAATTGTAATTAACCCGCTACCATACAAGCAACATAACACAGTAACACACTAAACACACAATAACATACCCAAGGCGGCGTTTCCAACGCTTGACTTACCACGTGGGCCCCCCCCAGGTGCGCAGGCCCGCGGTGCCATGCGCCGAGGACCTACGCTAGAGACAACCGTTCGCGGCAACCGCCATGCGCAAAAGAGACTCGCTCAACTCTCGCCCGCCACCAAGGCTCGCTTCCGCCAGAGGTCATTGCCGGCGCTACCCCATGATGATGATGACGATTGTGGTGCTCAAGGCGAATACAACGCCACCTATCGCCCGGCGGTCTTCACCTGAAATGCGGCTTTGGGGCAGGACACGTGCACCACACGGCACAAACAACTTTACAGGGGGTGTCAGCAACCCCACAACGTCTTCGCCTGTTCCAAATTTCAATGCGATAGCCTTAAAGAGTTCGTTTCGCAGAAATTGGTTGAGTCATTGCCGTCATTGGTTGTGAGTGAAAAATTGATGCTTTTTGTGACCGCAAAATCAAGATGAAATAAAATGAGCAGGCACGTTTACCTCTACCAAACTATCCAAAGTATCTGTCCTTGCATGCTTTCCGCACTTCACAGTCAGGTCCAATTCATACTGTGTGTATGTGTGTGTATGTGTGTATGTGTGTTTGTGTGTGTGACAGAGAGAGAGAGAACAGGTGACATGTAGTTCATAGAGTGCGGAAAGAGTGAAGGCCTGGTCTGCTAACAATATTGGCCTCTTCCCTTTGTTCAGGAGAACTTCGCCACCAAGCTCACCCCATGAGGGCTGCCTGTCTATGTCACTGTTCAAAGAGGGCTTCTCGAAAACATAGTTCACAAGACAACAGCTCTTGGTCATTCCTTGAAATAGGCCTCCCAACCTCGGCAAGAGGGCGCTGCACCGCGCGTTTTGGCTGCCTTTCTAGCGAAAACCGCTCGCTTAGGACCCCGCTCTCACCTTCTGCCTGTGCTGTATCAACACGTTCACGCGCTCTGCACAGGCTGTTGTCTGGTCGCCCTGCACGTGCAGTGTCACCTGTGACTTGCTTTGAAGGTTTAAAAACATTGTAAAAACGTTTTCTCAGTGTGATTCTTATCAGAACCGAGAGCAATTCATTGACAACCTTTGCGGGACCAAGCAAGTCATACTGATGTCCTTGAGCGAGTGCTATCTACTTGTTGATGGTGAACAGCCGCCTTTTTATGATATAAAAAGTGATGTGACAGCGCGCGTTCTGTATGTATGCTACCAGTAAAACGCGTACTATTTGCTGTGGCATTCGTGTCTTCTTCGAGCGTTCGGCAAACCACCACCATGCTTTCGCGTGCATTAGCATATAGCATTCGAATTCTGATTGCTTGAATTCCAAGTTTGTCACGCGGCTCTAAATTGATGAGGAGGTCAGAGTGAAGAGACTTAACTTACCTCTGCTCTTTTGAGTCCCTGGCACCATTTCAATGCGGAGTGTTCAGTTTCATAAAGGTTTCAGTTTTGCCGAGGTTTTTATCGGATATTAACAAGAATGTATCGTAAGTTCAATGACACCTTGGATTTTTTCACAGCAACTTTGAAAGTGTTTAGATGCACACAAGAAAAAGTATTTTATGTCCACTTCGCCGCGCATGTTTAATTTCCGATAATATTCACGTCTAATCATGCAGCATGTTCAATGATTCGAATGTCGACTTGGTTGTTTTGACAGCTCGCTTGGTCTTCTTCATATCATACAATACTCACTACGATCGAGCATGCTTTTAGTTACGCAGAGATTCGCCCTTGATAGCTGCATCGAATTTTGTGAAACCATCGAACATTTTATATCTGCTTTGGTTTTTTATTCAACTCGTTTTCATAGTGCCAGCTGTATATCGCCCACGGCTCGAGCGCATGCGAGGTTATAATATTTTACGTGCCAAAACCATCATACCATAGGAGGCACGCCTGGTGTGAGACTCCAAATTGATTCCGGCCACCTGAGTTTCTTTTTTTTCTTTTTAACATGCACCTAGATCTATTTGAAGTGTAAGATGCGACAACAACGGACAGAGGGGGCACACACATCGAGCGTCACTTCTGTTTACATTGAGCGCCATACCACCGTACACGTGAAATATGCAACACCAGTCTTCCATTCTCGCACCAAAATCTTAACGCATTGTTACTTCATTTTGCTCCCATGGAAACGTAGCTAGCGTATGCAGGAATCGAACTCATGACTTTGATCCTAGCATCACAATGCCTCAGCACGAACCCGGCGTATAAATCTGTTTACCCTGAGTGGCGACGAGAGGTTTATAGCTGTTAGCTGAATAAAACACTTGCAGGGCTCACAAACGGTATTTTACTAGTGGTGTATTAAGCTAGCAAGCTGCGGTTTTGGAAAGCCAGAGCCCAATGACATAATGTACAGTGGTTGTCTATTGCGATAGTTTCTGTTTACAAACGCGATTTCTTTTAGTATGAGTCCAGCCATCGCGTGTCTTTCAGTTAATATTTTGTAGTACTGTGCACAACTAAAATATAGACCGCGAAGTATTGGCAAACTGCCATAATCCACTCTTCACGCCTGTGCTTCTCGCACTGCTTGCATTGGAAACGGTAGAACTTGAAGGGCAGTTTTCAGGCCTTCGTCATGTTTTAACTTTTGTAGCAGCTAACAACGCAAAAGCAGTTCATGCCGGCTTTTCAGGATGACAAAGGAGCGGTGCCCACATAGCGCGAAATGCGAGATAAGCGTTCCAAGGAACACGTTTATCGTGCGCGCAATGGGAAAACCCAGCAAGCGTTAGCCCGTCCGAGCGACCGGTGCTTTGCCCTCTTTCCGCTAGGGCGGCCAACGGCGCTGCAAGAACTTGAGACTATGGCGCGAGTCAATGCTTCCAACCTCACTGGGCCACTAAAAACTTTTATTGCGTTGTCCTTGCATGATGCCTAGCTGCTGTTGCATATCGGCACAACGCACTTCCACCACATCCCGAAGAACTACTGGTCGAAATGCTCAAAGCACTCTCCTTCGTATCAGTTTTTGTCTTTTGTAAGCAGGGCAATCGACGCTTTTTTTAATGTAGGCACACAGGTGTCTCATATAAAGACGTTTGATTGTATGTGCAAGGGGTTCTGCAACTCTTGGAAATGGTGAACTGTGTTCATTGTGACACATCGTCTTTTGTGTGCACACTCAGTGGAAGCGGAGCGGAAGCTGCAGTCTCATGCCGTTCAGCGTGGCCTTCCTCGGCCGCTGGACGTCAACGCTTCGGTGCTGCGGCCTGCGCACACGGAGCCCCCGCTGACGGAGCTGCAAAAGGCCGAGGAGCTCATCAAGCAGGAGATGCTAGTGATGCAGCATCACGACGCCCTGCACAACCCGACCGAGGCCCAGCAGTGGAGCCGCAAGGGAGCGGGCGACGAGGCTGCCCACCTGGCATACCTCGAGCGCCACCCATACCAAAAGTACAGCCAGGACGAGCTGGACGCTGTGAGCACCCACTCTTCAGTGCTGGCATTTGGCTAGACTAGCTTGTCCTGTGCGAGGCGAGGCACACACCAGAGGAGCATTACATATACCAGTGTTACACGGGCCAATTTCGGAATTCTTCATCGCATTTAACACTTTCCTTTTTGTAGGAAAATGAGCAATTTTTCGGTGGTCTAGTAAACAATTTTTTTGCTGCTACACCAAATGCTTTATATTACAATGTATAGTATCAATTTGTAGTAGAACAGTTGTGCTTTCTAATGATATTATTTACAAGCAAACATCTATTAACAATTTTCTGAAGAAAAATACTTAACTCTTTCCTTACCGCCAGGAAAAGACCCGTTTTCATGTGGTGCAGAAAAAAAAGTTTATCGTTATATAATGTAGCGGCCGGGAATGTCGGCTGCCGGAGGCAGCGAGAAAGGAGACGTGAAGCTGGTTTGGAGTTGCAGGGCAAGACTGTTTATTTCCACTCCGTGCGAGTGACGAGAGTTCCCCTCGACGAGGGAGAGAAGGAGGCACCCCCGCGTTCTTCTACAAGAAAGAGGAAAAGGGGGCCCCCGAGCGAGCAGACGTAGCATGCTGCCGGTGCTAATCCCCGGAGCCGGCCCCGACAACACGTTGTTCCCCGAACACGGAGGAGGAGGCGCTGGCGCCGCGAGTAGGCGCGCTGTCGACGGCCGGCTGCAGACGGGATAGAAAAGAATGTGGTGGTGCTGAGCAGCTTCCGCTACAAAGGCTCCCCCCCTAGATTGCGGAGCTTTTAAAGAAGGACAGCAGTTACGGGCTGAATAGTGAAAGGTCACAGTCCAATGGTTAGCACTGAAATCGTACGTGAGAGGCTGCTTGAATGGAAACCTCAATATGAGCAGGCTTGGCGCGGTCCACGGCGACGACTTCTCGTTTCCCCCGCACGTCGATTGCGATGGTTTTGTTAGTACGTCCCAAAACTTTGAATGGGCCATCGTACGGCAGAGTAAGGGGCGGCTTCGTTGCGTCGTGTCGCACGAACACATGGGTAGCAGAGTCCATGTCAGGAAAAGTGAAAACTTTCCTGTTGCGGGCGATGCGAGGTGCTGTTGGCCTGAGTTGCGCGAGCCATGCGCGCAGCTTCTCGATGTGATCGGAGGCTGTTGGGGCGGAAGGTGTCTGGTCGGAGAAGAATTCTCCCGGGAGGCGCACTGTTGAGCCGTAGACCATTTCCGCTGCACTGAAGCCGAGGTCTTCCTTCACCGTTGAGCGTAGGCCAAGAAGAACGAGCGGGAGCTTCTCCACCCAGTGCTGGTGGTCGAGTTTCGCTGCCAGTGCGGCTTTGAGTTGCCGGTGGAAGCGCTCAACCATTCCGTTGCTGGCGGGGTGGTAGGCGGTTGTATGCTGCAGCTTCGTGCCGAGGAGCGTTGAAAGTGCGGGAAAGAGGTTGCTCTGGAATTGCCGTCCCCGGTCAGTTGTTATGCGGACGGGGCAGCCAAAGCGGGACACCCATGTTTGAATGAAGGCCTGCGCGACGGTCTCAGCTGATATGTCCGCGATTGGTATAGCTTCGGGCCACCGGCTGTACCTGTCGATGCATGTGAGCAGGTACCTAAATCCTTGGCAGGGCGGTAGTGGTCCCACGAGGTCGAGGTGAACGTGGTCAAACCGCGACTCAGGAGTCCGAAATTCCTGTAGTGCAGCCCGATTGTGGCGAGTCACTTTCACTTGCTGACACGTTTCACATGTCCGAGCCCATCGTCGCACGTCCGCGTTGACTCCGGGCCAAACGAAGCGTTGCGTTATCAGCCGCTGGGTGGCGCGGACACCTGGGTGGCTGATGGAGTGGAAAGTGTTGAATACCACTCGGCGAAAGTTCAGTGGGACGAAAGGTCGTGGTGCTGCCTGGGAGGTATCGCAGGTTATCGTGCTCTGGACGTAGGGAAGTGCAACCTCCGAGAGCACGAGTGAAGATCCCCCTCCCTTCAGTCTTGTCAACTCGGGGTCGTCCTGCTGAGCTGCGGCCATAGCTTCGAAGTCCAGGACTTCTGTGCCGGAAGCGTTGACGCGAGACAAGGCGTCAGCTGCTTCGTTTTCGACCCCGGGAAAGTGGCGGATGTCTGCTTCGTTTTCGACCCCGGGAACGTGGCGGATGTCTGTAGAAAACTCGGAGATGAATGAGAGCTGACGGATCTCTCGTTCTGAGTAGGAGGAACTGTTGTTGTTGAATACGTAGGTGAGGGGCTTGTGGTCTGTCAAGATGTAGAACTCACGGCCTTCGAGGAAGTAGCGGAAATGCTTAATGGAACAATAGATTGCGAGCATCTCCCTTCCAAAAGTGCTGTACCGTGCTTCTGCAGGCTTCAGACGTTTCGAAAAGAAGCCCAGTGGCTTCCACTGGGCGCCCTCCTGTTGCTGCAGCACTGCTCCGACCGATGTGGAGGAAGCGCCCACCATGAGGCGTGTAGGAGCTTCAGGCCGTGGATGAATGAGGAGGGTAGCCGCGGCTAGCTCGTCCTTAGCTTTCTGGAAAGCGTTCTGGTGTTCGTCAGACCAACAAAATTCTGGTGCCTTTTGGTCGTCTCGGCGCAGCAGGTCGGTCAATGGCTGGAGCACTCGAGCACAAGACGGAATGAACCGTCGGTGGAAGTTTAAGAGCCCGAGGAACTCCCTCAGCTTGCGAAAAGATGTTGGAGCTGGAAACTTCTTGACGGATTCCACCCTCGATTCCAATGGCATAATGCCTTCAGCAGTGATGTGGTGGCCGAGGAAGTTGAGCGCCTCTACTCCAAACACGCACTTTTGAGGTTTCAACACCAGACCGTGCTCATCCAGACGCTGAAAGAGCTGGCGGAGGTGCTCTTCGTGCTCCGCAGGCATTCTGCTGGCCACCAAAATGTCATCCAGGTAGACAAAGATGAAAGGAAGACCCCGGGTGACCTCATCCATGAACCTTTGAAAGGTCTGTGCGGCATTTTTCAAGCCGTAGGGCATGCGGACAAACTCAAACAGGCCGAACGGAGTTGTTATGGCTGTTTTTGGTATGTCCTGCGGTTCGACGGAGATTTGGTGGTATGCCGCTACAAGGTCGATCTTGCTGTATATTTTCGTACCTGCCAGCCGCGCGCTGAAATCGTGAATGTGTGGCAGAGGATACTGGTCCGGCGTTGTCGATGCGTTCAAGGCTCTGTAATCACCACACGGGCGCCAATCGTCGTCCTTAGGCACCATGTGTAGCGGTGATGAATGGTTGCTAGACGAAGGGCGAACAATTCCCAGCTGTAGCATATGCTCGAACTCCCTGCGTGCAGCTTGAAGCCTTTTGCTGGACAGCCGTCGTGGCCGGGCGGTGACTGGCGGCCCGGTGGTGACGATGTGGTGAGTCACGTTATGTTTCACCGGCTGTTCAGTGTTGCGGGGCTTGGTGAGCGAGGGGAATTCGGCCAGGACGTGGTGGTAGGCTGATACTGGCTGGAAGGCGCAGATGCCAGATGAGCAGATGTTTGACTCCAAACCACGTACTTTGAGGGATGTGTTGTTATCCTTGAGGCAACGGTCACGTACGCTCACATCCAGGTTGAAGTGGCTGAGAAAATCTGCTCCGAGTATGGCGAAATTAACATCCCCCACCACGAAGACCCAGCGAAACAGGCGCCTGAGTCCGACGTCTATTGTCAGCGAGCGGAAGCCGTACGTAGCGATGGCAGTGTTGTTCACTGCCTGCAGTGACGATGTGTTCTTGCTACGTCGGCGATCCTCGGGGCTTGCCGGGACAATAGAGATTTCGGCTCCCGTGTCGACTAGCAGGCGCGAGTTGCTTACGCAATCGACTACGAAAAACAGGCGGCTGGGTGGAGGGCCGATGTCGTAAGCCGCCGTTAACGACTGGCCGGAGCGTTTCCCGGAAACGAGCAAGGTTGAGTGCAGCGGCTCGCACCCGTGCCGAAACGACGGTGGTACCAGCAAACTCCGTCCTGTGTATCTCGTGCATGGCTTCTCTGGGAAGAGCTTGGGTGTCTTGAAGGGGATCGGTTGCGTCGTTGCTCGTCCTGTTGGGGAGCGCCAGAGAGCACAAGTTTCTGCATGGTCTCGGTAAGGTGTTGCAGTCTCCTCAAGGCGCGACAGTCGATCTGGTTGCTCATGTGTTCTTGCAGCAGCTATGGGCGCAAAGGTTGGAGTTGAGTATTCCGTGATGCGATCGGCAAGTTGCGCTAGTCGATCAAGGGACGTCTCATTTGAACCCGCGAGAACCACGCGCACCGACTGGGGGAGCCGTTGCAGGAAAGTTCACGAAAAAATGGGAGCTGGCCGTCCTGACGCGCGTGCACACCGAGTAGTTGCCGCATACGGTGCAGCAGTTGGGAAGGTCGTTGGTCGCCCAGCTCTTCGCGACCCAAGAGCTGCTGCAGTCTGCTTTCTTCAGGCGCCTCGGGCGGTCCAGCACCGTCTTTTTGAGGGTGTCATATTCTTCTTGCGTGGGGGGTGAAACCAAAATGTCGTCGATAGCGTCGGCGATTTCGAGGGGCAGGGCTGCGACGACGTGAAGGTATTTTGTCGACTGCGAGGTGATGTGCCGAAGCTGAAAACGGGCCTCCACTTGGCTGAACCAAACTCTTGGATTTTTCGGCCAAAAATTTGCTAGCTTCAGTTCTGTGGCGATGACTGCAGGCGTGGAGGCAGCAGCGTTGTCGTCGGAGCTCATCGCGGCGGGTTCGTTGAAGCGTTCGGGTCACCAATTTTGTAGCGGCCGGGAATGTCGGCTGCCGGAGGCAGCGAGAAAGGAGACGTGAAGCTGGTTTGGAGTTGCAGGGCAAGACTGTTTATTTCCACTCCGTGCGAGTGACGAGAAAGAGAAGGAAGCACCCCCGCGTTCTTCTACAAGAAAGAGGAAAAGGGGGCCCCCGAGCGAGCAGACGTAGCATGCCGCCGGTGCTAATCCCCGGAGCCGGCCCCGACAACACGTTGTTCCCCGAACACGGAGGAGGAGGCGCTGGCGCCGCGAGTAGGCGCGCTGTCGACGGCCGGCTGCAGACGGGATAGAAAAAAATGCGGTGGTGCTGAGCAGCTTCCGCTACAACAACAATGTTTTTTTTGTTAATTGTAATACACCAAAATGTAGACAAATAAATGCGCTTTTTAATTATATAAATACAAAACATGTGTTTGCAACACAATAGCAGAAAGAAAATCCCAAACAACAAATTTTTCGCAACTACCGCAAAAAAAATGTGGAAAAGTAAGCATGGTGGGCACAAATATCTCAGTAAAAAAAAATTCAAGATATGCGTTTTGTGGCATATTTACATAGCTAACTATCCTAAAAGTTTCAACAGTACACATAAAAAATTGTTAGCACAGCAGAAAAAAAAGTTAGCACTTGTGATTACGGGACAATTTTCTGAGGGTGCAAGAAAAAAAATTTTATCCGCAGATAAAAAATATTATAGATGTTCTGCAGCCCATGAAAATGTAGAGGAATGAATGGTCTATTTATTTCAATAAATTTAGAACAAGTTTTTACACAGTAAGAATAAAAAAATAACAAACAAAAAAATTCTCAAGGACACAAGTTTTTTTTTTTTTTTTCAAAAAAAGTGGGTGTAACAAGCGAAAAGATGGCAATACAAATTCTGAATATACATTGGTTAGGTAGTAGTTACTTCTAAAGACCACAGAGGTGACAAGAGTACACGTAAACAACTGTGAGACCACACAAAAATGTTATCCCTTGTGGTGGCGGTGCCACTCACCAAAGCAGTCTCTGGTCGCGATGAAGCACATGTAAACGCCACACGTTTCACAAAAGACGCTCGTCTTGTGCTCAACCTTGCGGCTCGCATAGCAGAGCTTGCAGTTGCGCCTCGTTTCCATCACTTTTGACTTGTGCACAGACTCTCGAGGGGGAGGGGCGCTGCCAAAACCTGTGGCTTCGATTCCCAGTAGCTGCTTCACAAGCTCCATTCGGAAGGCAAGCTGGTCGTAACGAGGCGCTCGGTGCAGTTCTGGAATTTCGGGGTGCTCTCTCCTATGGGCCTCAAAAATAATAAAACTGTTCACAACAGCGATGTCGATGCAGTAGAAGAACAAAGTTTTCCACCACCTGACGCACTTCATCAACACATTGTACGATGCGATGAGCTGGTCTGACCTGTCTACTCCAAGCATGCCTGCATTATATTCTTCAATTAGTCTTGGTTTCCTAATTGGGACCTTCTTCCATTGGCCAGCGACCTTTCGTTTCCGTGTTGCAGTCACATGGCTGTTCGCAGTATGGGCAGTGCTCATCATGTGCACCGCGCGTCTGTCCTTCCATTGAAAGTACAGGACGCCTTGATGCCGCAGCCAGCGAACATCTCCCCTCTTGGCCTTTTTCTCCCATGTGGAGTCCTTCAATTCCGCAGGGAACGTGCGACGATCCTTCCGTGTCGTTCCACAAGCAAGAGTCTTCCGCTCCAGGAGGTGTAAAAAAAGAGACGTGGACGTGTAAAAATTGTCCATGAATAGTGTGTATCTCTGGTCAAAATACATTTCACACAGGCTAGTCACGACATCAAATGCGAGTCCATTTACGCTCGGTGTCTCACGCTTCCCGGTGTAGACACTAAACTGCACTGTGTAGCCCGAATTGGAGTCTGCGAGGACCCACAGCTTGTATCCCCACTTGACAACCTTGTCGCGAAGATACTGTCGTATTCCCAAGCGGCCTTTAGATTTCACCATTCTTTCGTCGACGGAAATGTTACGGTCTGGCTGGAAATGGAACGCAGATGCATCATTGATGTGCCGAAGCAAAAAAGCAATTCGGTGCAGCTTGCCGTCTGTAGCGGGATTGGTAGCTTCATGATCCGTCACGCTCAGCATACCGAGGAAGGAGAAAAAAACGTTTTCTTGGCATGACCCCACGTGGGATTAGCCCAGAAAACAACTCTGCTGTGCTCCAATAGAGGTGCAGGCGAGGCAGTTGCACTATCCCCATGTAGATGAGGAGTCCGATGAACTTCATCATTTCATCTGGGGAAACATTTTTCCACGATCCGTCGCGTTCCGAGTACGTTGGTTTCTCTAGAATGTGCGCCCAGGCGTATTTATTTGTGTTCTCGCACATCGCTGTGACGAGTTCCATTGTGAAAAACAGCAAGAAAAAAATCCAGGGCTCGAAGAAACCGACTAGCGCTGCTCCGTCGCGCCATGCCCAGATCGACACCCGTTTCCGTCTTGGACAAAACTGCACGCGCTGTGCAGCGGGAGGCATTGAATCGCGCCCATAGGACGTAGAGACCCTGCGGATAGAGGTAATAACTGTGACAACACGCTCGGTCCCCTCGCGGGCGCTCAACAACGCGATAAATCCCGTAAAAAAAACTCACCGTCGAGCTGACGAAGACGTTCCCGGTGTGTTGAGGGCCTCATCGCTGTCGGTGCTAAACTCCGATAATAGGGAATTTTCTTCAGGGCCACTGCTACCACTTTCATCCGAAAAATGTACTGTAACAACACTAGAATAACGAGAAATACGACGATTCGTTTCAGACCCAGCGCGCGACGACGACGCCATGGCTGCCGCTATCGCCAGACGCTCGCTTATCTTCCAAGCAAGGTCAAAAATCACCGGGTCTCCGGAAACCAAAACCGAAACTGACACGGGTTGTGTGCTTCCTGAGCTTCATTTCAGATGGCGCCTCATGTCCATACGGCGCGTTGGGGCACGGGAATTTCAACTTGAACCCATCGATCAGATTGACCGAAATTGAATAGGCGCGGTAAGGAAAGAGTTAATGAAAAAATAATTTGTAAGAAAAAAAAGAAAGCTCTGTAAAAATATTGATGCTGCTTTGCACCAACACAACCTAAAAAAATTTACAAATATACTTTTCAAAGAAGAAGGCTGTATACAACATTACTGCAAATATGAACTTTCTATCTATACAAGTTAATTTCACACAAAAATGTGTTAGCCATAGTGGCTATCATGCCCCACCGCACAGAGCAGTTGCGAGATGTGGTGAAGCACAAGTTGGTGGAGCATGTCTTGCAGTAAACCTTGGTTTTTTGTTCAATTTTCCATTCTTGATAGCACAGCTTGCAGTTCCTGTATTTTTGTAGCTTCTGAATTTAACAGTGTAACCCGATTTGGAGTCCTCCAAAACCCACCATTTATATCCCCATTTGATAGTTTGTCCCGCATGTACTACAGTCGAACCTCGATATATCGAACGGCGCGGTGATCGTGAAATAGTTCGATATATCCAGAATTCGATATAAAAAAATCACGAAAAAATGCGTCAACAGCTTGCTGAAAACAACCAACGAACCGTTCAAGCGTGGTGCAGTTATTACTCACTTGAAGATTCAAACATAGTATTTATTGTGTTGGTTTAATATATTGAAAAAGAGTAGCCTGCTTTTTGTTGGCCATGGCGTGTTTGACGACTGCGTCCTCAATATAGTCCAGGCGATCCATAAGTGATAGGCCGGTGCCTTCAATCGCGGTGCAGTGGCGGCGCACAAGGGCCAAGGCAGCTACGACCTCAGCTGATGTCGGGAGCGGGGCACCATCAGCGCTTGCGGGATCCACCTCGGCAGAGTCTTCATTTGGCTGCTCAGCAGTAGCTTCGGCGACAATCTCTACATCCGTGAGCTCCGCCGTTCGGAGTTAGGCCTGTCGCGCACCACAGTGCACGACAGGCCTAACTCCGAACGCACGAACACTGCGAGCACAACAACCGATGCCTGCCGATGCTACGGGGGAGGAGCTTGCAACAAGTGCGCAGTGTGCCGTTGACACCATAGAGACTGCAACGACTGCAAGCTGCAAGGCTGCGGCGTGAGTCCGGGTGTAAAGCGCGCACATGGCGCGCCCATGCCGGCTCACCTGACTGCTTTCCCTTTCCTGGCGGCAGCGCGGGCCGCGACCGAGACAGTCGTCTGCGTCCTTTCCCTCCTATACTTTCCTCCTCAATCTTTACCTCCCACTCGCCCTTTTCCCGCGCGAAGCCGTGTCGGTGCCCTCGTATTGAAAGAAAATAACAGCTCCGCGCTTTTCTCTTGACTTTCCTCATTCAAGAACCTCTACCGCAAGGTTGCGGCGCGCGTACGCCGCTACGTTAAAGTGGCGCTCTCGGCGCCATCGATGTGTGCACCATTCGTGCACACATCTCCCGCCGCTCTACCGCTACGCCCGGTAGAACGCCCGCCGCTCTACCGCTACTTTCGAGAGTTACGCGAAAGCTCGCCGCCTGTCAATGGAGCGCGGGCGGTTTGGGGTGGCTGAGTTCAATATATCCATCATATGTGAAACTTTGTTCGAAATAAAAAATCAATAATGCGTGCGATTTCCCGCGTGATATAGGAACCGTTCGATATAGGCAATAATTCGATATATCGGTGTTCGATATATTGAGGTTTGACTGTACTGAATTGCACATCTATCTTCGGATATTACCATTCTCGTCAAGAGGCCCCGATGAGATTGGAAAAATTGAGCGGATGAGGCGTTGAGGGATGCAACTGTTGTCATGTTGCCCCATCCCGGCTACACCACTGAGTGCTACTTAATCCAGACAGACACCAGCCAAATCGCGATCGTCTTGATCCTCGTCGAAGTCCCTGGTTGAAGACCCTGGTGCGGCTCGCTTGTACAACCATGCCAATGGCAGCTGTTGAAGAGTGTTCTGAAATTGCCGCCAGCTTTGTTGCACTTTCAGTGGCTTACACAATGTCGGCATGATTTTTCCAGGCCCATGAGGTCCTTCAGGCCGAGATGGATGTGGTGAAGAAGGGCATGGGCCACGGGGAGCTCAGCTTGGAGGCCTACTGCCAGGTGTGGGACGAGTGCCTGGCGCAAGTGCTCTTTCTGCCTGCTCAGAACCGCTACACCCGGGCCAACCTGGCCTCCAAAAAGGACCGCATAGAATCACTTGACAAACGCCTCGAGGTGAGCCTGTCTTTGTATTGTCGCACTTTATTCCTGTCACAGAGTTCAGAAGGACTGCATAAAACTGCTTAAGTGGCACGTGCTACTCGCACACTATGCATTGAGAAAACTCACCAAAATTGAAATGCATTATGTGAAGCAAATGCGTATTGAGGGATGAGAACAAATTAAGTGCTTAATCAGTAATAATGAATGAGAAGTCCTTTTTTCAATTATGCCCTAATTCTTGTGAGATTTTATTCAATTACATTTAGGAGTGTGCGAATATCAAAATTTTCAAATACGAATTGAATACGAAATCATAGCTTCGAATAGAATCGATTATCGAATAATGAAGAGGTGCAATTTTTTCCCACCTGTAATCTTTTGATTGATTGATATCTGGGGTTTAACGTCCCAAAAAGACCATATGATTATGAGAGGCGGGCTCCGGATATTTCGACCACCTGTGGTTCTTTAACGTGCACCCAAATCTGAGCACACGGGCCTACAACATTTTCGCCTTTATCGGAAATGCAGCTGCCGCAGCCTGAATTTGATCCTCCGACCTGCGGGTCAGCAGCCGAGTACCTTAGCCGCTAGACCACCGCGGCGGGGCACCAGTAATCTTTTACTCAATCATATATTTAGATATGAAACAGTACAATTGTTGTTATAGTCAGTTATTGCACACAAAATTTCAAAAAAGATGTCTCCATCTGCACTTGCCTGCCACCAGTGACTCGCCTTGCTCATTGGTTTTTCAGAAAAACGCGTCATCAAAAAGCACCACCGCGCGATTCTATTGGCTGCTTGGGGCACGTGACAAAACCTAGGCACCTGATTGGCCAAATGGCGTTTCCGGCGTCCGCGTCTTCATCGTAACACGCACAGACATGCACAATTGTGTCATGGTGCTGTCAATTGCCTACCGCAGTAAAGAAGTTCCTCGCCGCAATAATTCGTGAAGCGGGTGTGGTGATCGTTTGTTCGCTGTTAATCTTCAGAAAGAGCCCCGCTATCACTCAGGGCAGGGAGGAAAAACTCGTGGCGTTTAACAGCGGTCGCTGAGTCACCGGTGTAGGCCTAACTCATGTACGAGCCCGTCGGTTGTCGACTACGTCGCTGAAAGCAGCAGTGTTTTGGAGCTTCAGCAGTTACAGGACGGCAAGTAAAAAAGCAGAAGTGAAGCTACAAAAGATAGCAATCTTTGCAACGATGGAAGGGAAGCGCAGTCTTATCCCTAAACGCGGTTCCCCCCGTCTGACGTGAACTGCGTGGCGGGTCGTCAGAGTGGAGTTCACCGCGCGTCGGCAAACAACAGAAAATCAATCCGTTCACGGTGAATGGACTTGCCGCTTGCGCATTGAAGGCTACTGGCAAAAGGTAGAGTGTTTGTAACGACGCGTCCGCAACGATGAACATATTGCGTCGAGGCCTCCACTCGGAAATGTGGCTATATTACGTCAAAAGGAAACTAACACCTCGCTGCTCTTGGAGCCTTGAAATTGATGAGCGAGTGCACGAGTTCGGTCTGCGACATTAACAACTCAATCTAAACAAGCCGGAAAACCGCTTTATTATACGACAGAGCGCGAATTACGCGCGCACACTCGTCGCACATAAGCGTCGCCGAACTGATAAGTGGCCTAGTCTGCAGACGAGCAGACGGCGACCGCATCAGCTCGCAAGTGTGCCTCTGCGAAAAACATGCAGCGGGCATTGAAAAAACGCCGTTTAGGTGTTGAGAAACAGAAGGGCTACATGCCTGGTGCGTACTGAAAAGACTGAATTCGCAAATCATTGTAAATAAACTGCTTTTTCATGCTACTGTCTGGCCAAAATGGGCTTGTGTTTTTGCATGATTTCTCAGTGTTCAAATTTTACTGCAGTTGCAAACTTGTCTAAAAGATATCTCTGCCTCTAGAGCAGCTATGACTGTCATTTTTGTTGTGACATGTAGCTGTATCTATAGTTTACACATTGGTTGGTGTGAATTGTTTTATTAAGATCTTCAAAAATTTTATTTCTGCCAGAAATCGGAGCATGAAGTGGTTGTGTCTACAGAACTGAAATTCAAGGTGCAACAAACCTTGCTAAAATTATCAAATCAAAAAAGCACTCCTACCGTTGTGTGGCTTATGTTCATTAGTACACAGGCATGTGCCAATAGTAGCTCTGCAATACAAATTTCTTGTCATACCAACAAACAATAAGTAATTAATTTTGGAATATCTCAAAAACTAATTGTTTTAGAGAAACAGTAATTACATTTTTGAAATCAGCATCAAAAACTCTATCACAGTGGGAATTTTCTTTATAAACACAAGAAAATATCTGGCATTTCTTCTCACGTACAGTGTCCCCCCTAAAATACGTAACATTTTAAGATTTATTATACTTAGAGCATATAAGCCATCATAACTAGCCTTTAAGCTTAATAAAATGAATTGATTTGAGAGTAATATTTTCTATTTTCACTTGAAAAGGTCGTGCGACACTTATTCAAGTAGCCATGGAATGCTTTCACTGAAAAAGCTTATTTATTGCCTCATGAATTGACCGCCACAAATATTTTTAGAATCCGTCTAGTACACATGGAGTTGCAAAGATTTCTTGCACGCTGCTAGTGCATTCTCTCTTCTCATCCTGATGAAAGCACTGGAAGCTAAACAGAGAGGGATGGCATGGGAAAGGAAAATGCGTCACACGTGCTTTCTGAGCTTATAGAGTCATTTGCAGAGAGGACAGCAAATTTTAGCTGACTTTGAGAATTTGTTGTGAATCACACGCCGCATGCTGCGCTATAATATTTGACTTGCGTGTCCTCAGTAGCCTGGACTACCGATCAGCAGCGTTTTCTGACAATGCTCAAAAAGTGTTGCAGGTTCCCTTTAAATTTGAAGGGAGGCTTTGCGGCAAAGCGGATTTGTTTTGGATAGGTGCTTTCACAATTCAGCACCCCTACACTGCAGTGAAACCATCTTTACAGGCGGTACATTTGGATTAATACGCATCTACACTCAAACCTCGTTATAACATAAGGGGATATAACAAAATAATGGATATAACAAACTAAATGAATTTTCCCTTGAAAGCTCCATTGAAAACCATGCATTTTAAATGCCGCTATGACAAATTAAAATTTACAGGTAAATGGATAAAACGAACTAACTTCATCTTGTCGAATAGCCTATAAAAAAAAAACGACTGTAGTGCGCTAAGTATATTGTTTTCTGCTGAGTTTGATGCTCGTTCAGCACGGCTCTTTCAAAACTACCGTGCCGACCTTACATCCACGTCGTGCGTGGCCGAGAGAGCCGTCCTCCTCACATAGCCATCGGAGAGGATTGAGGAAGCACTTAGCGGGTCACATGACGGAGAAGCGGCGCCGTGGTGGAAAGTGATTTCCCTCTTTGCGCCTAAAGACGACGGAAACGACTGCGTCTCTGCTACTACCCTCTGCACCGAGAAAGGAGGACTCTCCATGACAGCTGTCTTTTTTTTTCCTCTCTCTCTGCGCGCAGCCTTGAAAAGAGAAGGGCCTTTATGTGCAGAGATGAAAAAGGGAGAATCGTGGCACAGGAACGTCGCAGATCGGCATTTGAGAGAGAGCTGTCACAGTCTTTTCTTTCCTGTTCTTCTTTCCCTTCTTCGCGCACAGCGTTGAGAGATGCCGCCCTGGGATTGGGCGTGGTGCTGAGAGCATTTTCAGAGCGCGGTGTGTTGAAATCAACTGTCGCAGGGGCTTGTGCTTTTAAAATACAGGGCATTTTCGTCCTTCGGAAGTCACATAGCTTTGGGGGGACCTCAGCGTGAGTTTGAATTACCCGGAAGTTCGAATTAAGCATGTTCGAAATAATGAGGTTCGACTGTGTTTATTTTCCATCGCACATGTGGCCGCGTAGCGGTACAACAGGTCGCAAGGCGGTTTTCTTCTTTGCATGCTTATAGGTGTGTGCCCATCTGAGCATACATTGCCAAATTCTTATAATCAATATAACAAAATAATGGATATAACGAAATAATTGTGGCTCCGCTTCAACTTTGTTATAACGAGGTTTTAGTGCATACGTTCATTGCGAATACTTTCAAATTTTCGACAATTTAAATTCGAAGCGAATTCGAATACCTTAATATTTATTTGAATATTCCAAGCATTCAAATGATTGCACAAGTCTATGAACGAATAGTTGAAATATCTGGTTATCGAATTGAATATTACAAATGCAATATATATTCGCGCACCCCTAAAATTTATATTACGTTCATACAAAATACCCGTTGAAATGTGTCCTGTGCCATTTTTCTGTTGATACTCATTGGTAAGAAACCTATCTTGGGCATGATCTTCCTGTACTGATTATATGTCCTCTTGTAGCAAAACCGAGGTCACATGACCAGAGAAGCCAAGAAAGCGGCCAAGGTTGAGAAAAAGCTTCGGGTGCTGCTGGGAGGCTACCAGGTGTGCATTTTTTATTTTCTTTAGTGCAAGAGTTCAAACCAGGTTCTTGTGCAGGTGATAGAGCTTGTTTGTGCTGTGTTATTGTAGCCAGTACAGAGCACTGTGGGTTCTGGCTTATTGCATGCATCAGATTTAATCTTTTTTTAATGTTTCTCAAATATTTATAGAACATTTTTCTAATACACTTCGAAATGAAGCTGCAGCAAAAAAGTTGGAAAGGATTCCTAAGCACATTCTTTTGAGATAGCAACACGAAAGTGTTCCTTCTAGCTTGATTGATAAAGCGGAGGCACAGTGGTGTTTCATAGTTGTCTTATCAAGAATAAGCTAATGCAGAGGCCAAGTTGTATTTATGTAGTAACTCGGGGGACGAATTGCAACTCATGATTACGGAGTTAGACAAGGAGAGCAGAAAGGTGGGTCTTAAAATTAATCTGCAGAAAACGAAAGTAATGTACAACAACCTCGGAAAAGAGCAGCGCTTCGAGATAGGTAATAGTGCACTTCAAGTTGTACAATACTATGTCTACTTAGGGCAGGTAATAACCGCAGAGCCAAACCACGAGATTGAAGTAACTAGAAGAATAAGAATGGGGTGGAGCACATTTGGCAAGCACTCTCAAATTATGACAGGTAGATTGCCACTATCCCTCAAGAGGAAGGTATATAACAGCTGTATCTTGCCGGTACTTAGCTATGGAGCAGAAACCTGGAGACTTACAAAGAGGGTTCAGCTTAAATTGAGGACGACGCAGCGAGCAATGGAAAGAAAAATGGTAGGTGTAACCTTAAGAGACAAGAAGAGAGCAGAGTGGATTAGGGGACAAACGGGGGTTAAGGATATCATAGTTGAAATAAAGAAGAGGAAATAGACATGGGCCGGGCATGTAGCGCGTAGACAGGATAACCACTGGTCATTGAGGGGAACTAACTGGACTCCCAGAGAAGGGAAGCCGGTTAGGGGGAGACAGAAGGTTAGGTGGGCAGACGAGATTAAGAAGTTTGCGGGTATAAATTGGCAGCAGCAAGCACAGGACCGGGTTAACTGGCGGAACATGGGAGAGGCCTTTGTCCTGCAGTGGACGTAGTCAGGCTGATGATGATGATGAGAACATGAATATCGTCTGCCGAATTAATGTAACATAAATCAATCATAGAGCAACACGCTAGGACGTCCTTACACAATATTACTATACACTCAAAAGCATGACAAAAACAATAACACACCCAAGGCGGCGGCGCCAACGCTCTACTTACCACGAGGGCCCCCGACGTGCAACACGTGGTGCCACGCACCGGAGACCCACGCTAGAGATAACCGTTCATGGCAAATGCCACGCGCAGAAGCGACCAGCTTATTTCTCGCTCGCCGCTGCCAAGGCTTGTCACCGCTGGCGCTATACCATGATGATGATAATATATGTGATCTACGCTCGCGACCACAACGCCACCTACCACCTGGTATTGTAACCCGAAATGCGGCTTTTGGGTGAGACGTGTGCCATGCAGCGCAAACAACTTCACAGGGGGTGTCAGCACCCCTGCATCCCCCTTACCTTAATTCAAACCATATTCCGAAAAACAAAGAAATCAGCTACACAAGCTCTACCAAAAAAAATGACAACTCATGTCTCTTCATAATGTCCGTGCACCACGACACCGCCGCCGGTCGACACTGCTGCACTGTCCGGCTCGACGACTTCACCTCAGTACCGGTACCGTAACAGCAACGTTGCTGTCGGCACGATGATTCGTCACTCGCGGCGACACGTCTTCCGGTTGCGACCAGCACTCACGAGGGCACCGGACTGCAGGCAGTTGCGCAGGTCCCAGGCATGTCCATTGCCCTACCTTACGACCGCATTCCAGGCCAGCGGCGCTGACGATGTGCAGGAGACAGCCAGCCGTGAACTACATCACTACCATTGCGTATCGTATTTTTGCTCGTATAACCCGCCCCTGCATATAATCCGCACCCCCACTTTCAGCTCACCGAGAAAGAAAAAAAAAATCCTCGCGTATTGCCCGCACATTTGATATACAGGAAAGGCTGTACAAAAGCTACTGCTCAAGCAATATAGCATATATGTAGACAGAAAAAGCTTTATTTAGCAAGCAGAATACGCTGTCTGCAAAGCCAGTCACAATTCACTCACTGTCGCTGCTCTCGCTAGAGCTATCACTTTAGCCGCAGTCCTCACTATTATGCACAAGGTCATCTTCGGTTCCATCAATGTTGTTTGTGATGCAGCATTTCTTGAAACTTTTTCGCACCATCTCACCTGGAATGGCCTTCCATGCCTCGACAATCCACTTGCAGAATAGGGCAATATCAGGCCTTCGGACTCGTCTCGTCGGCGTCAAGTCGTAGCAGCCTTCATTTCATTTCATTTCATTTCATTTTATTACCTTAAAGACCCCATTGAAGGGGTATTACTTAAGGGGTGGGTACATATATGAAAACGTGAAAGCCATTTTTTTTTTTTTTACAATGCAAGGTAGTTTGTTACGGTGTTCAAAAAGGTGGTAGGACAGGTTATGGCGGTGATTTCGTTAGAAAGGCCGTTCCAGTCCGTAGCTGCACGAAAAAAGAATGAGGACGAAAAAGTGACGGTGCGCGTACGCGGCCGCTCAACTTGTTGCGGGTGACCAGTGCGATGGGAGATGCGTGCCGGAGGAAGAATGTATGGTGGCCTGCCGAGCGAGCTGTAAAAAAACTTGTGAAAAAGGGAAAGACTAGAAATGCGGCGACGAGATGCAAGCAATGATAGGCCAGATTCTGTTTTCAGTGCTGATATGCTGACGTCGTAAGAGTACGTAGAATGAATAAATCGTGTGGCTCGATTTTGAAGTGACTCGAGTTGATTGATGAGATATGCTTGATGCGGGCTCCAAATGGCTGATGCGTATTCTATCTTCGTCCTAACGAGGGATTGATAAGCTAGTAATTTGACATTATTAGGAGCGTGACGCAAATGGCGTTTTAAAAACCCGAGTGTTTTGTTAGCAGATGCAATGATGTTCGTAATATGCGTTGCCAAGGTTAAATCGCTACAAAGGGTTACTTCGAGATATTTATAGGAAGGAACTAATTCGAGGTTTGTGTCAGCAATTTGGTACGGGAATACTATCGGATTTCGACGGCGGTGAAAGGAAACAGTTTTACATTTGTTAGGGCTGAGTTCCATTAGCCAAAGGTTACACCAATCCTGTAAGCTTAGTAAGTCAGTTTGAAGAGACGTGTTATCCGAAACGTTGTTTATTTTACGATAAATAACGCAGTCGTCTGCAAACATGCGTATGTTAGAAGATACATGTAATGGTAGGTCATTAATGTAAATCAAAAACAGAAGCGGGCCTAGGACAGACCCTTGAGGGACACCTGAGGTTACCGGGGTAGTGTTAGACATTTGATTGTTGACGGAAACTGATTGCGAACGATTAGTTAAGAATTCTTTAATCCATGCTAATACGTCATCATTTAAATTCAACGCGGCAAGCTTTAGTAGTAGGCGCTCATGAAGAACTTTGTCAAATGCCTTTGCGAAATCGATGAAGATGGCGTCAGTCTGAAGGTTAGAGTCGAGGTTAACATGCAGGTCGTGAACAAACATAGCTAGCTGCGTTTAACACGAATACCCTTTCCTAAAGCCATGCTGCGCAGGATGAAAAAAATTATTGGAATCAAGGAAGTCCATGATATGTGTGTAGATGATATGCTCGAGGAGTTTGCAGGATATGCTGGTTAAGGAAATGGGACGATAATTTAATGGTGATTGTTTGTTACCTGATTTGTGGACTGGAACGACCTTTCCGTGCTTCCAATCTGGAGGCAGCATTCCTGTTGAAACTGAGTGTGAAAATAGTAGACACAGATACGCTGCACAGATATGTTTAGTATTTTTCAGGAGTTTGGATGTAATGTTGTCTACACCAGCTGAAGAAGAAAGTTTGATTTTGTCTATTAGTGATGAAATACCGCTGGAAAAAAACGTAATTGGTGGCATGGTACAATCAAAGTTCGCATGAGGGATGGTAAATGACAACTCAGTTTCTTGGGTGAAAACGGATGCGAAGGCGGCGTTAAACACGCGTGCACATTCCGTGTCACTTAGGGCATCCCCTAACTCATTACATAGTGTTATATTGCGCGTGTCCTGTGGGTTTATGACTTGCCAGAATTTTTTGGGGTTGTTCTTAAGCATGTTCGGTACGTCCGAATGGAGGAATGAGTGTTTGGCGTGACGTATGGCTTGCAGATAAGCAGATTCGGCGGCTTTGCACTTGTTCCATGCATCAGGGGTGTTACGGGACTTGGCTGCGCGGAAGGAGCGTTTTTTCTTGTTTTCTAATCGTTTCAGTGCTTTATTGAACCAGGGTTGGGCGGTATTAGGATTGATGTTAATTTGGGGAATGTATTTATCAACCATTTCGTTTAGCTTATCTCTGAAAATCAACCAGTTTTCGGTTACATTATGATGAGAAAAGGCAGTGTCAAAAGTGGAGTAAAAATTCGTTAGTTCAGAGTTAATTGCTTCCTAATTTCCTTTATCATACAAACGGATAGTTTTTTTTATGGTCGGGGCTAAAGCAGGCTTAATCACGAAGTCAGCATGAATGACTTTATGGTCACTGATTTTAGGCAGGTATGCAATGGAGGACACGCACTCTGGATAGCTGGTTAATATAAGATCCAGAATGTTTTGGCAGTTATCGGTAACGCGGGTTGGTTCTGTAAGAACTTGAGATAGGTTAAAGTTAAGGCATACATCAAGGAAGTCGTTCGATTCCCTTGACGTAGCCCCTGGTGCAGGCTGGCTTGCCCAATCGATATTAGGAAAATTAAAATCGCCAAACAGAATTACATGCATGTTAGGGTGTTTGGTCGTTATTTCGCTTAGTATATTATTGAGCTTAGAAGAAAAATCGGGAGTACTGTGAGGGGGCCTATAGCAAACGCCAAGTAAAACTGAGTGCGGTGCGGCATGGCATTTAAGCCA